TCTGTCTTGTTCCTAGACAATTCCTGTCTCTAGCTAAATTCATTTGTCCATTGTTCTCAACATTCAGTTGTTCACTCTGGATTCCCTTGATGCTTCTCAAACCACTTCCTTTTCTCCACTGGTAGTATTTAATTACTGGTCACCTACTAACTATATGTCAAACACTGTAACAAGCATTTTGTTTATGTTATATCTAAACTTTACAAGGAAGGACTTATTTGCCTGAGGAAAATTAATCAGAGGAAGATGAAACACTTAACTCCACAAAGTCCACCCTTTTCCCGAACACTTTTCTAAATTCTGCCATTTCATGGCTGAGCTCAAGGCCACCATTCCTAAAGAAGTGTGTTGTTCCTGAAGTTCCAACCCAATTTACCAATTTCAAACCTTAAATATGTTGCCATAATTTTAGCATATACATACCCAAAAGTGAATTTATTCTGAAACTAATGAAACTGAAGCTTCAGGGACACTCAATTGCATGGACTCCTTCCAATACCCCAAACATGATTTTAACTATGTAATGATATAATTTTGTTAAAGTACAGTCCCCAAAACTGAATAAACTCCCAAGTCATAAAATATATACACTTTTTTCCTTGTATATACCTAAGAACTACTGAAACAGGGCCTCAGCTTGTTTTTTATTCCTCAAATGGATACTCTATCCTCTAAAGTCTGTTTCCTCTGGAACCCAAGGCTGGCTAGTTGCTAGCTTCCTAGCTGCTGCTCCACATAAACATATAACTAATTTTTTCTTGTGCAAGTTTAAGATCTAATCATAATTAAAAAAAAAACAAACAGGATAAATAAGAGGAGTTAAAATTACAAAGAAAAAGATATTGGTTGGGTGAGGTGGCTCATGTCTGTAATCTCAGCACTTTGGGAGGCTAAGGCAGGAGGACTGCTTGGGCCTAGAAGTTTGAGACCAGATGGGGCAACATAGGGAGAAGCCACCTCTACAAAAAATTTGAAATTAGCCAAGTGTGGTTGTGCACACCTGTAGTCCCAGCTACTCAGGAGGCTGAAATAAGAGGATCACTTGAGCCTGGGAGGTTGAGGCTGCAGTGAGATATGATTGTACCACTGCACTCCAGCATGGGTGACAGAGTGAGACCTTGTCTCCAAAAAATTAGTCAATAAGGTAACTAAGAAAAAAAATCTTTCTTGTAGGAGACAGGTTAAAAAGTAAATAATAGTAAAATCTTAGAGTGTGCCCCAAATTTATCTGCAGATTCAACACAATCACAACCAGAATCCCAGCAGCCTTTTTTGCAGAAACTGACAAGCTGGTCCTAAAACTCGTATGGAAATGGAAAGGATCAGGAACAGCCAAAACAATCTTGAAAAAGAAGAACAAAGTTGGGGAACTCACACTTCCTAATTTCAAACTTATTATACTAAAGTAATCAGGATGGTGTGGTACTGGCATAGATGGAAATAGATCAATGGAATAGAGTTGAGAGTCCAGAAATAAACTCTTACAGTCAATCAACAAGGGTGCCAACTATTAGTTGAGGAAAAGAATGGTCTTCAATAAACTGTGCTGGAACAACATGCAAAATAATGAAGTTGAACCCCTACCTCACACCATATACAAAAATTAACTGAGAAAAGATTATAGACCTAAATGCAAGAGCTAAAACTATAAAACTCTTAGAAGAAAACATAGGAGTAAATCCTCATGACATTGGACAAGGCAATGGTTTATCAGATATAACACCAGAAGCAAAGAGTACAAAAGAAAAAATAAATCAGGTCTCATCAAAATCAAAACTTTCTGTAACCAGAATATGTAAAGAACTCTTAGTTGAAAATTATAAGGACAACTCTTTTTTTTTTTTTTTTTTGGAGATGGAGTCTTGCTGTGTTGCCCAGGCTGGAGTGCAGTGGTGCAAATTCAGCTCACTCCAGCCTCTGCCTCCCGGGTTCCTGCAATTCTCCTGCCTCAGCCTCGTGGGTAGCTGGCATTACAGGCACATGCCACCATGCCTGGCTAATTTTTCTATTTTTAGTAAAGAGACGCAGTTTTGTCATATTGGAAAGGCTGGTCTCAAACTCCTGACCTCAGGTGATCCACTCGCCTCAGCCTCCCAAAGTGCTGGAATTACAGGTGCTGAGCCACCACACTCAATTTTTAACTCAATTTTTAAATTGAGTTAAACACAACTCAATTTTTAAAAATAAGCCAACAATTTGAATAGCCATTTCTTCAAAGATATAAAATTGGCCAATAAACACATGAAAAGATGTCCAACATCATTAGTCATTAAATGCATACCAAAACCACAACACGATACCACTTCAGCCCCACTAGGATGGCTATAGTAAAAGACAAACAATATCAAATGTCAAGAAGCACATGAAGGTTGGGCAAGGTGGCTCACACCTGTAATCCCAGCACTCTGAGAGGCCGAGGTGAGTGGATCACTTGAGGTCAGGAGTTCGAGACCATCCTGGCCAACATGGTGAAACCCCATCCCTACAAAAATTGGTCAGGGTTGGTGGCAGGTGCCTGGAACCCCAGCTACCTAGCAAGCGAAGGCAGGAGAATCGCTCAAACCCAGGAGGAGGGGGCTGCTGTAAGTAAGCAGAGATCACACCATTGCACTCTAGCCTGGGTGACAGACTCCGTCTCAAAAAAAAAAAAAAAAAAAAAAAAGAAAAAGAATATTGGAGAAACTGGAACCCTCATATATTTACTAATGGGAATGTAAAATGGTACAGTTGCTGTGGAAAACTGTTTGGCTGTACCTCAGAAGTTAAACCTAGAATTAACATAAAACCCAGCAATTCTACTCCTAGGCCCATGCCCAAGAGAACTAAAACATATTCACACAAAAAAACTACATTAACGTTCACAGCAGCAGCAGTATGCAAAATAGCCAAGACATAGAAACAAATCCAACTGTCCACCCAATGATAAATGGATAAACAAAATTTGGTATCTCCATACAATGGAATCTTATTTAGCCATAAGTACTGAATGGAAGTACAACGTGGATGAACCCTGAAAACATGCTAAATACAAAAGGCCACATATTGTAAGATTTTATATAAAATGTCCAGGATAGACAAATCCGTAGACAAAGAGTAGATTAGTGGTTGGGAGGGACTAGGGGTAGGGAGAAATGGGAAGTGACTGCTAATGATACAAGTGTCTTTGGGGATGATGAAAAGGTTCCAAAATCAATTGTGGTGTTGTACAATCTTGTAAATATGCCAAAAACCACTGAATTGCACATTTTAAAACAGTGCATTTTATTATACATGCAACAAATCTGTTTTGTTTTAGACAGAATTTCGCTCTTGTTGCCCAGGCTAGAGTGCAGTGGCACAATCTCTATAACCTCCGCCTCCCGGATTCAAGCAATTCTCCTAACTCAGCCTCCAGAGTAGCTGGGATTACAGGCGTCCACCACTAAGCCCGGCTAATTTTTTGTGTTTTTGGTAGAGAAGGGGGTTTCATCACATTGGCCAGGCTGATCTCGAACTCCTGACCTCAAGTGATCACCCGCCTCAGCCTCCCAAATTGCAGGGAGTACAGGCCATGAGCCACTGTGTCCGGCCAATAAACCTGTTTTTAAAAACATCTTATACATGGCTTCTGGCCTCCTGTCTATTAAAATCGTAAAATAACACTCTTGATTCCTGCCCTTTACTTCATTTCTGAGGGCTGATGTCACCAACCTCTGTGCTTTCCTAACCCATGCTTTGGTAAAAGCTCCAGAAAGTCTTGCCTCCAAAATGGTATTTTACTCAGCACTGGTTACATTTTAGAGTTGGCTCAAGCAGGCAGATAAATCTGAGGGCTCTTACTCTGGGTAATACTCACCTCAAGAAGCTCCGCATACATACTGACTTGGTATTTACACTTAAAAAATGTACAGACAATTTTTTACAAGCATAAATTTCATAATTCGCAAATTTTTATTTAAATGTTGGTTATATGCACATATATATCCAGTTTTTTATTTTTCCAACTAGACCATAAAATCTCCAAAAAAAGGCCCAAGTCTAAAGTCTGCGCCCTAATACTGCCCCAGTGCCCTGCACAATGTCCCCATGTGGTCCTTTGTTTCAAGGGCAGATGATACCCTGTAACATAATTGTGGGAATTACATTCCAGTTCCATCACTTACTTAACTTTGTGACTTTGGGCAAGTTGCTTAAATTGTGTGTCTCAGTTTACTCATTCCTAAAATAGGGCTAGCAATACCTGCCCGTTGGTATTTAGAAAAAACAAAAAAAAACAAAGTAATGTTGGTGACACGCTGAACACAGCATCTAGCACACAGAGATTTGAGGCAGTCATTGTCTGCATATACTGATGGAGTCAAATCTTTTTCTTCCCATATTTTGCATTTTGACTGTTATTTGCCCTCTCAATCAGCGGCTTCCTCATCTGCAAAATTCTATGCCAAAAGATCTTTGAGAGAATTGAAAGAAAGAAAAAGCCTACAACTCCTATCACACAGCAGGGGCTCAAACAAAAACAAAAACAAAAACGACCCTTTCTTTTCCATCTCCACCACTAAGGCGATTTCTTTAGCAACAACCTACAGCCCCCTCGTGCACCCAGCCGAAACGCCATCAACATCGCCGAACAGCTTCTACACCTATCTGTGGACAAACAAGTAATGTCTCTAAGAACGCCAACCGTAGCTCCACGTCAGGGAGCCATTTTTCCAACCAAGAAAATGAAAAGGTGTGCAAGTACGATCTAAGGAGTAAAATACCCCTGCCGGCGGTCATCGATGCCCCCTTCCCACGCCGCCAGCGACCCAGCACAAAGACCGCAGTCAACACCGGCAAAGACCTTTCATTTCTCACCCCACGCGTCCAGCTAGAGGGGACGTGGCGTGGACAGCCATACAAGGGGGAGGTGTGGGTGGTCGTGGGGCGAAGGGCCCAAGACCCGGCAGCGGCGGGGGAGAGCCGAGCAGCCTGGGGAAGCTCTGCACCCGGCGGTGTCGTCTGAGGGAGGGGTCGAGCCTTACCTTCGCCCGCTTGCGCCTGCTAGTCCGACGCCCCTCCGGAGTCTCTGCTATTCCAGTTTCCATGGGGGTCGCAGACCCAGGCACGACGGTAGGCCCGGCCTGAGGCCCTGCGGACCCCGGCGGTTCGGCCAGGCCCCCGGGAGGCGAGGCCCGCGGGGGCTCTTTCTTGCGGGGCGTACGCTCCCCGGCCGCCCCCGGCCCGACCTCGCCTGGGCCCGACAGGCCTGCGGGCGGCGCGGCCACCTCAGAGCCGTTCTCTGCACCGCCCGCAGCCCCGGGGCCAGCCTCCGTCCCGGCGGCCGCCGCTGCAGCCGCCGCCGCTGCAGCTGCCGCCTTCTTCCCAGACAACATCTCGGGCCGCCGGGCCGCCGACGGCCGTAGGGGCCGCTCGGTCTGTCGCTCCGTGGGTCCGAACCGCCTCGACTCCCCTCGCTTCACGTCGCCCGCGCGCCGCCAACCGCCGTCGCGTACGCAAGCGCTAAGCGCGCTCCCGCCGCGCCGGGACAAAAAGGGCCGGAGACGCCCACGAGCCCCGCCCCTCCCACGCAGCCATAGAGCAGCGTTCTCGCAGCTAGAGCGGCACCGCAGCCAAGAATGTGTAGCTTGCCTAGAGCGTCTCCCCGGCTTTTGGAACGGGACCTGGCACAGTCCCTGGTCTTGGGGCCTCTGGGCCAGACTAAACCTCCGAAGGTGACCATTTCCTCCAGGGACTTGCGGGTTTGCGTGCGTGCGTTTGTTCATTCACTCATCCAATTTTTCGTTAATTCAACCAGTATCTATTAATGCTTGCCTACTACGTAACAAGGGTTACATTATGAAGTTCTTGCTTTCAAAGAACTTACAATCTAATGGAGGAAAACAAATAATGCTGATAGGACGTCTTATTTATTCATAACTGTCCTGCTTGGACTGGGCAAAAATCTTGGAGAGCACAGCAGTTTCAATGGTAATCAAATGGAGAGAAGTTAGGAAATCCATGTTTGAGTCCAGACGGAATTGGTCTTGTCTCCAAGACTTTGTTCATACTCTTCCTTCTGTCTGGCCCCCAACCCCATTCGCATCCCATGTCCACCATACATAATAACTATAAAGGAGAACTAACCTAAAAACCCAGTAAGGGCCGGGCACAGTGGCTTGCATCTGTAATCCCAGGACTTTGGGAAGCCGAGGTGGAAGGATTGCTTGAGCCCAGGAGTTTGAGACCAGCCGGACCGATGTGGCGAAACCCTGTCTCTACTAAAATTACAAAAATTAGGCAGGTGTGGTGGTGCGTGCCTGTAATCCCAACTACTCAGGAGGCCGAGGCAGGACAATCGCTTGAACCTGGGAGGCGAAGGTTGTAGTGAGCCAAGATCACACCACTGCACTCCAGCCTGGGCAACAGAGCAAGAATCCGTCTCAAAAAAGAAAATAAATAAAATAGTAAAAGTTAATGTCTCTAGGTGGGAGAATTGCTTCAGGCTAGGAGTTTGAGACCAGCCTAAGCAATATAGCAAGACTCTGTCTCTAAAAAAAAAAAAAAAAAAATTTTTTTTTTGAGATGGCGTTTCGCTCTTGTTGCCCAGGCTGGAGTGCAATGGAGTGACCTTGGCTCACTGCAACCTCCGCCTCCTGGATTCAAGCAATTCTTCCGCCTCAGCCTCCCAAGTAGCTGCGATTATGGGTATGAGCCACCACACCCGGCTAATTTCTTATTTTTAGTAGAGATGGGGTTTCTCTATGTTGGTCAGGCTGGTCTGGAACTCCCAACCTTAGGTGATCTACCTGCCTTGGCCTCCCAAAGTGCTGGGATTACAGGCGTGAGTCACCGCACCTGGCCAAAAAAAAATTTTTTTTTTTACATTAGCTGAGCATAGTGGCACATGCCTGTTGTCCTAGCTACTTGGGAGGCTGAGGCAGGACGATCACTACAGCCCAGGAGTTGGAGGCTTCAGTGAACCGTGATCGCACCACCGTACTCCAACCTGGGCAAAACGAGACCTTGTCTCAAAAATAAATAAAATACTAATAAAAAGTTAATGTCTAACTGTACAGAGTCCAAAACCTAATCAATACTACATAGTGTATTTTTTCTTTTTTTTTCTGCTATAGGTTTGTCTGTTATAGATATTATATTAAACAAAGTTACCTTCCCCTAAAGCATCAAGATGGGCTAGTATAACTGTAAAAGCAGTTATGTCCAAGTTTGGATAGCTTTTCTTTGCCCCTATGATGGTAGGGGCTCTGTATTAGCCATTTTTTTTTGCCAGTGGCTAGGCCCAGAAATACTGGTGAACGAATGAGGAGGCCTACATCACCTGGCTGTTGTGAGGACATCATGAGATAATACTTGCAAACTGCTTGTCAAAGAATCTGGCACATAGTGGGTGCTTCAGACATAGGAGGAGTTATTGTTATGTGGCAACTGGGTGGTGGGAGGGAGCTGGTTATGACTCAGAGGCATGTGTAGCCGAGACTCTTGTCATGGAGGGGCCTGAGGCAGGGTCCTGGGGCCTGTGTGCCTGCATGCCACAATGCTGGCGGAACTGATATTTCTCTTTAGGAGTCTCCATGGGATACTTGCCTCCTCGGGCACCATAGGAGCAGTGGCAATTTGGCTGATGAGCTATAAGCCCGTCTTGTTTGGGTTCCTATTCCTTCTGCTGTTGCTTAGCAACTGGCTGGTCAAGCATGAACACAAGCTCACCCTCCCAGAGCCCCAGCAGGTGAGCAAGACAGGCCTTGGCTTCAGCTCAGGGATAGGGGATATTTGTAGCTAGATTGGGTTGGGGGGCAGGGAATAGGGAGGTGTCGAAATAATGGGGCTGGACTGGGGAATCCAAGACTCTGTTCTAAATCACCATTCTACAGCTTCCTCTTAGATGATGCTGGCAAATTTCTTCCCTCCACAAGGGGCATCAGTTGCCTCGGCTGTTAAATCAGGACCACCCCAGACTTTCCTATTTCATGTTTGATGTCAGCATGCTTTGGCAAGAGTAACAGCCACTTTAATGTGAAAAAAATTTTTTAAATTAAAATGGATGAACATAGATACATCTCTAAAATAGAATAATAAAGACAGCAGAAATGTACATAGATTATGACATCTTTCATTTAATGTTAAAAAAAAAATGCTAGGCCAGGTGCAGTGGATCACATCTGTAATCCCAGCACTTTGGGAGGCTGAGGCAGGTGGATCGCTTGAAGTCAGGAGTTCAAGACCAGCATGGCCAACATAGTGCACCTGTAATACAAGCTACTCAGGAGGCTGAGGCAGAAGGATCACTTGAACCCGGGAGGCAGGGGTTACAGTGAGCTGAGATCATGCCACTGCACTCTACCCTGGGTGACAGAGCAAGACTCCATCTAAAAACAAAAACAAAACCAAAAAACATGCAAAACGGCCCAGCACAGCGGCTCATACCTATAATCCCTGCACTTTGGGATGCCGAGGCAGGTGGACCACTTGAAGCCAGGGGCTCAAGAATAGCCTGGGCAACATGGTGAAACTATGTCTCTACAAAATATACAAAAATGAGCCAGGCATGGTGATATGCACCTATAGTCCCAGCTACTCAGGAGACTGAGGCTGGAGAATCACCTGAGCCCAGGAAGTTGGGGCTACAGTGAACTGTGATCATGCCACTGCACTCCAGCCTGGGTGACGGAGTGAGATTGTCTCAGAAAAAAAAAAAAAAATGCAGGCTGGGGGCAGTGGCTTATGCCTGTAATCCCAACACTTTGGGAGGCCGAGGCGGGTGGATCAGGAGGTCAGGAGTTCAGACTGGCCAACATGGTGAAACCCTGTCTCTACTAAAAAATACAAAAAATTAGCTGGGTATGGTGGCTCATGCCTGTAATCCCAGCTATTTGGGAGGCTGAGGTAGGAGAATTGCTTGAACCAGGACCTGGAAGGCAGAGGTTGCAATGAGCTGGGATCGCACCACTGCACTCCAGCGTGAGCTACAGAGCAAGACTCCATCTCAAAAAAGAAAAACAAAGCAAAACAAGAGCCTGTCTTGTTTATGGATGCATATGTGCAGTGAACGTAGTTTAAGGCAGGATATCTCAACCGTGGCACTGTTGACATTTTGGGCCAGATGATTCTTTATTGTGGGGGGCTCACCTATCACCTATGCATTGTTAGCTTAGGGGCATCTCTGGCCCCCACCCGTGAGATGCCAATTTTGTGACAATTAAACGTTCTTCCAGACATTGCCAAATGGAGGGCAGAATGCCTTCCATTGAGAACTACTTTATAAAGAAACGCATGGAAAAATAAATACTAAATGCAGGATTACAGTTGAGATGATGATATTCAGAGAGGGGGAGAACGCTGTGGGTGGGAGAGTCCACAGAGAACTTTAGTTATATTTATATTTTATTTCTTACGTTAATATGGGAATATGAGCATTTGTTATATTATTTAGCTTTTTTTTTGCATGTCAGATATGTTTAATTTTTTTCAGTTAACCATTTTATTTTATTTATGTATTTAGTTTTTTGAGACAGGTCTCGCTCTGTGGCCCAGGCTAGATGCAATGGCACAACCATGGCTTACTGCAGCCTCGACCTCCGTGGGCTCAGGTGATCCTTCCACCTCAGCCTCCCAAGTAGCTGGGACTACAGGTGTGCACAGGGGTAATTTTTTCTAGTTTTTGTAGAGATGAGATTTACCATCTTGCCCAGGCTAGTTTCAAACTCCTGGGCTCAAGTGATCCTCCTGCCTCGGACTTCCAAGGTACGGGGATTATAGGCCTGAGCCACCACACCTGGCCTAATTTTTAAATATTTTTAAAGACCATTAGTTTGTAGCTGAGTCCAAAAAGAAAAAAATTGAGTGTTATATTTAACCAGGGGAGGGAGAGATGAGAACCAGAGAGATAAAAGCATGTCATGAGACCACTGAGACTTTGTAGTTTCTGATCATGCTGAGCCTGACAAAATGCTCAGAGAGGCACGTTGGAAAAACAGTCTCCCGGAGATAGATGTATTTAGGCCAAGGGCTTTATGTCCACTGCAACTGGCGGATTAGCCAGCCATCTCATGCATTCCTATGAACCAAAGGCCAGCAGGGGACTCAGGAATTTGAGGCTGTGTGATGCTGAGAAAGCGACTTCCCAGCTGGGAATGGTAGCTCACACCTGTAATCCCAGCACTTTGGGAGACCAAGGCGGGCAGATCACCAGAGGTCAGGAGTTTGAGACTAGCCTGGTTAACATGGCAAAACCCCATCTCTACTAAAAATACAAAAATTATCCAGGCGTGGTGGCTGAGGCTGGAGAATCATTTGAACCCAAGGGGTGGTGGTTCAGTGAGCCAAGATGGCGCCATTGCACTCCAGCCTAGGCAACAAGAGTGAAACTCCGTCTTAAAAATAAGAAAGTTATCTCCATTGCTGGGTCCCAAGTCTCCACAAAATGAGGCAAAGACGCTCCCCTTGCAGGCAGTGGTGACAATCTATTAAGATAATGTTTGTAAACCACCTGGCACAGAGCAGGTGTTCAAACAAGGAAGGGATTATC